GAAGCTAGCCAGCCAGACGGCTGGCACTCCCCACCCGCAGCTCCCTGTGCTCCGGAAGCCCTCCTTCTGGGAAACCCTGAGGCCGGGAGTGAGTCCTCGGTCCAAAACTGGAGCATACTTTGTTGTCTTGCCAGGTTTACAGGAATATGAATTGAATACTGTAAGGGAAGTTGAATATCAACATTTTGAAGAACAGTGAATTTATGTGTAAATTACTCACTAGATATAAAAACCAGGTGGAAACCCCTGCACTGGATATGATTTTAAAGAAGTCATATTATGAACCAACCCTTATGAATCAAAAGGGTGCTGTGGAAATATGTTTTCAGGATTTGTTTATAGGATGTTCAGGATCTGTTTAAGAATATAAGCCACATTTGCTAACACAGATGATCAAATGTTTTCCAAAAATTTTAATATTTAAAATGCATATTTCTGAAATGAGAATTTGTAACTTCCATAGAGATGGTGTTGAATTTAATGTTAAAATTTACTTCCTTTTATGATCTATGTAACTGTTGTTATCCATCTTAATAGATCAAAACAATGAAGCCCGTATCTCAGAACATTGGTGATACTTTCGTCTACTGGCTTTTTTATGTGTTCGCTTTCTGCTTATTTCCAGTCATTGAAGAAAGTTGGGAAAGATTCCACTGTCTTACTTATCTGTATCACCGTGTTCCTTTCATATCTTCCCGAAGCTGGACAGTATTCAAGTTTTTTTCTGTATCTCAAGCAGGTGAGTAGTGGATATACCTAGAAGCTTTTGAACGTAAGGAATGTTGGATGTTGGGATCTAACTAAAGATAACTTGGGAAACAATTAGAGACTTCACTCTTGGTATTATACATTCTGTGGGTTTAGACAAATGTATAGAATGACACGAATCCAACTTTGTAATATGGTATAGAGTATTCTCACTGCCCTAAAAATACCTTGTGCTCCACCTGTTCATCCTTCCACCAGTGGCACCTACTAGCAAGCGCTGGTCTCTTTACGGTTTCTGTAGATCTGATTCTCGCAGACTGTCCCAGAGTTGGAATCATACTGTTTATAGCCTTTCCAGAGTGACCTCTTTCACTTAGTGATATGTATAAGTTTCCTCGGTGTATTTCCTTGGCTTGATAGTTCATTCTTTGCATTGTCAGTTTCAGCAGTTTGGATGTACCCGCTTACCTGTTCATCCACCAAGGGATATCTTGGCTGCTTCTAAGTTCTGGAAACTATGAATAAAGTTATTATAAGCACATAAATCTTTAATACTATCTATTAGATTGCTCAGAGAGGAAGTTTATTCAGACACACTGACCTGGATCTGATGGTGGCCAGCTTGCTGACCTGGCCTCATGACTTCTAGCTCACCTGCTGCACTGGACCTCAAATTGTTTTACAGACAACACAAAATCTTTTCTGTCCTCTTATTTTACTTTTTAAACGTGTATCTAACTGGGCATGGTGGTACACTGGAATCCTGGGAGGCCAAGGCAGGAGGCTCACAAGTTTGAGCCCAGAGACCAGTAGTACAAACAAAACAACAAAAAATCCCCAACAATTTCTATCCTGTTTTGTCCTCCTAAAATGGTTATTGATTTAGGTAAAAGAAACACCACCCTCCCTTGTCCAGATTTTGTTTGTGTCTCTGGGCCTGCTCAAACCTGAGCTACCTTTCATATGGCCCTGCCCTGGCTGTTATTGAGCTCACTGGAAAGAAGGCCTTCCCGTGTACTCCACTGTTGGAGAGCAGGCTTCCTCCTAAGATAAATTCCTTGACTTTTTTGAGATATTCTAAAATGGTATTTGATAAACAGTATTCTGCTAGTTTTTTTGAGAGTATGAGACTAATATCTTTATGTGTTAACATCTAAGTAGAACTTGTTTTTCAAAGATTTCTACTATTTTGCTCATTTTGATGGATGAATGCTAGAGATTTAGAGAAGGTAATAACTGTTTAGTGTGGAAAATTATGCATGCATTTATAATTAAATTAAATAAAATATGCTTTTAATGTAAATAAAATTGGAAAGTCCAAGGAAGAAAGTAAAAAAAAAAATTGCCTTAAAATAAGTAAGAAAGAACCGATGACTTCTAATTTTCTAGCTATTTTTTCTACACTATGTTCATGTCACCATCACCAACTACAAGTCAGAGGTATTGTGTTAGATTCTATTTGTGCTCACTCTAAAGAATAATTAACATAAACATTTTAGGTAAAATTTTATTGGATATTTAAAATTATACATTTGATAAAATGTTTATAGAAGACAAAATAATTTATCCTTTTTGAGATACTTTAAAAATTAGAAATCGTTGACATTTCAGAGCTACTGTTAAAGCCGTAGGCTTAGAAGTCATCACCAGCCAACTTTGCTGGCTGCTAACTCATTAGAAGCACCACGGGAACTTTTTAGAACATACCTGTCTCTGAGCCCTATCACAGAGAATCTGAGGTAATTGGTCTCCAGTGAGTTCTGGCATCTCCTTGCTTCCCTCCCGATTCTCCCCTTCTCTGTTGCCCACATGATTTAATGTATAGTGAGGGTAGAGAGTCACTGGTTTTGCTGATGAGCAAATTCTGTACCAGCATCATCAAAAGTTAAGTCACATTTTGTTTCATATTCTGCCTATTGCATGTTACCATCAATTTGTGAATTGGGGATAAAGAGGAAGTATGAATTAGTAGGTAGACATAGAAAATAGTATTCAAAATATTTCACAGTTTAAATTGTGCCTACATATAATGATTTCTTATATCAGATTTAAATATAAATTACTAGTTAAATAGGTTCGCCTTTCAGCACTGCCCTGATTTGCCACTGATTTTATGAACTGTCCTACACTCTTTTATCCTATCTTTTTCTGGTTTTTCTCCGGTATTGGAAATCGAACTCACTACCTTGCGCTTGCCAGGCAGGTGCTGTGCCGCTGAGCTAAATCCCCAGCCCGTATCCTATCATTTTAATAGACTATAACATTTTTTTAAATCAGTGATTTCTGTAGTAAATCTATTACTAAAGTATGTTCTTCCATTCTCTTAGGTCATCGGTTTTGGATCTGTTGAAATTGCAGCATTTATAGCTATGGTAGGAATTCTGTCTATTGGGGCTCAGGTGAGTGTTGTTTCACCCATACTTTAACACATTTTTATTTTCCTTTTACTCCTTGATAACCACAGGTTCACAGGTGTACTCCTCAGGCCCTGCAGTGGCAAATCTTACACAACTAGAGGGTAGCATCAGATCCAAGAAGCTGACAGGACATGGCTCATAGAACTGTTTCTTCGTGGTAGAATGTTGAAGTCATATTTAGGGGGAACTTCGTACAACTTTCATTCAGTAGCATAATTTGTTTTAACCTATGCTGGATCAGTATTTTTATTTGCTTGTAAAACAACCAAGACAATAAGTAACTTACTTGTAGATACCACAGAATTAACCAGGAGAATGTGCTAAGCGGTATTTTAATGGTAAAAAGTAAAGAGAAATAAACATCAATTACTGTTCCAACCCTTGCTATCCCCGGGACCAAAGAAATGTGAATCTATGAGTAGTTAGGCTTCTCTAGAGGAACAGAATTAATATCACAAAACACATTCATTTTAAAAAAATGTGTATCTATATACAATTATGCAAAAGGGATTTATTAGTAGGCTTAGAGGATCAGAGGCAGGAGAGTCCACAGTAACTGCAGACTCAGAAATGGGAAAATCTGTAGTGACCCTCTGCGTGCTAGAGAGCTGGAAGATCCAGTAGCTGCTCAGCCCACAAAGATGGAAGAACAAGAGGAACCAAGATGCAGCACCAGTCCAAGGTTGGAGCTCGTCGGAGAGTCGCTGATGCAAGACTGCATTGGAAGGCTGAAGAAACTGGAGACCTGGAGATCAGTGATGGCAGCCAAGGACGCACTCTGTCAAGACTGGAGTGCTTCAACATGGGCGCACTTTCTTTCATTTGCCTTTTTGTATTCCACCTAGATTACCAGGCTATAGATTGGTGCCATCCAACCCAGTGGGTCTTCCTTAATCTGCTACCTACAGATCAGTCACCCACAGACACCAGAACTGTGCTTTACTAATCTGCTCAAGTTGATACATCACAATTAATGGTCACAATGAGTTAAATTAGGATATATACAATGAGTGAAAGGTATTAAATATTCCCCATTTGTTAGAAATACAGGATCACCACAGCAGGGCACATGACCTTCCATTAATGTAGTGCTGTGCATGGGTGCATTCACTATGTCTTGTGGGACCCCTAGAGGCTGTTGCCTTGAAATGCGCATCAGGCCAAGCAGAATGTTTTCCTTGATCCTGTCCAGAAGAAATGGGAAGGTCATGAATGTTTCTTCCACATACTATACTTGAGAAGTCTCATGGAATGCAGAGGCCTTTCCATTTCTGTTTTGACTATATTATTAGTACATGTAAATTATGCTAAGGTTTCAGGTTGATCATGATTTCTGTTTGTGTGTTACATTAACTAGTTGATTAGCTGCTGGCATCTTTTACTGTACTCATTTTCAGACTATCCCAGCTTCTTCTATTTAGCAAAATATATATTTGTTAAAATCAAAGTTAAACCAATCCCAACTTGATAAAACTGTTAACCTCTAGCCAGATCCCATATCTATAAATGTTCAGCAGGAGTTTGCTATTCACCCATAGTTAAGAGCTTGGCACTTTTTCAGAGAGCCTGGTAAAAGCTGTGGTAATCTTTTGGGAGGTGCTAGCAGTGTACAGTAGACAGATTTCTCAGGAAGGATGTGCAAGGGCCTAAGCCCCAGGTTAGCCTGGGAACCACTGCAACTCCCCACTTCAAAAGATACGTTAGTACTGTGAGCCTTTCAGGTCACAGATAGCAGTGTGCCCTTGGAGGTAGCTGGTTATCACTCTGTGTTTAAATCTGTGTTCACATGGTTTCTTAGGGTCTCTTTTTCTTTGCAGACAGTCTTTCTTAGCATCTTGATGAGATCACTGGGGAATAAGAACACTGTTCTCCTTGGTTTGGGCTTCCAGATACTGCAACTGGCATGGTATGGTTTTGGATCTCAAGCCTGGTAAGCTTTACCTATTGACTTTTATGGACTAACAGATGGATATGTGTTCGAGGCGCTCTGGCTAATTGGGTATGACAAGAAGCAGCAAGTTTGGTGTATTCAGCATTTCGAAAACCATTAGGCTTTAAATTGGGCAAGGGAGGGTAGAACTGGATGATTCAAAATGGTTTGTAAAGATTGGTTTCACCTCAGCAGGCTTACTGAATCATTGCTTAATTGAATGTGTGTCTGTCTTTCCCTAGCCCACCAATAAAGTTCTGGATCTATTTTTAAACACATTTGCCAGTGTTTGGAGACATCACATAACTTTCAGAGAAAAAGACAAGGAAAAATGATTGTGGCAAGCTTTGCTGACATAATTGAGTGATCTTAGACAGTAAAATAACCTTTATAAAATATGGCTTTAATTAGTTGTTTTCTTTTTTTTTTTTTTGGTACCAGGAATCAAACTCAGGACCTTGTGCTTGCCAGGCAGGCACTTATACCACTGAGCTATATCCCCAACCCACGGCTTTAAGTTTGATGAACAACTAAGGTCTCTTTCAATGGCAGGTGTAGCCTGAGGGAGTTACTACTAGCACCTTAGATTCCCATTAATAGGAGGGTCAAAATAAACTCTCTGGAATAAAGAGGAACAAAAGTTCCTTGTGTGGCAAGTTTCCCCATGTGCCTAGCTGCCAAACACCAGAGTTCTTACCTCCATTTTAGACACCAGAGCTGATTCTTACTTTGTGTTCATAAATGGAGGATATAATTTAGAGAAACTGCAAATGCTGTAGTGGTTAGAAGTTATTTTGGAAATAAACATGAAATTCTGAATTTCCTTTGTTCTATGTGATGTCTTACCTAAAATTAATGTGGATGATTCTTGTTCTTTTTTGATTTTGGTCCTGTGAGCTTAGGTTCGCTAGCTGGCTGAGTTAACATTCTTTCAGTGTTAGAAAGACTTTGACATCATGAAAGGGTTTGTCCTTTTCAGTAACAACCATCCCCGAGGAAGTCTGGCCCAGCTGGTTATGAGCACAGCTGGGGCCTCACTTTACTCACACACTTCCTCCTGATTCATATGTAGGCCTCTTGTGTGGAGAGCAGGACCCAGGACTGAGGGGAGTGAGCTGTTCCAGCTCAGTGGTTGGTACACTGCCCTGGGGGTTCTGGCAGGCTGCATGGCTTGAGAGTAGTGTGAGGGTTAGGCTTTGAGAAGCACAAAGAGTAGAAGTGCAGTATTTATACAAGCAAGTTGTCCCCTGCAGAACTTTGTTGAGCTTACTTCTGCAGATGGTAATAGAGCAGAGAGAAGAAGAGTTTCTGAGAGAAGTAAAATAAGGAAATGAAGTTTTCCTGGATCTTCTATTTTGTGAAGAGGTTAATATTAACAGTGTGATTGTAACCCTTCAACGTTTAAGAAGTCATTTTTAAAGAGCGAAATGTAGTCAGTGTGGTGTTGTGTACCCCTAATCTCAGGAGGCAGAGGCAGGAGACTTCTGAGTTTGAGGCCATCCTGAGCTACCTAGTGAGTTTAAGATCAGTTTAAAATATATAGTAAGACCCTGGCTCAAAAAAAAAAAGAAAGGATGGAGGAATGATAAAGGAAACTGGACATGAGAAAATAGAAAGCGTTTGTACATTTGCCACTGCATTCCAAACCATAGCTCCCAAGGCCTGACCGCGGTCTGTTCTGTTGTTGCAGGATGATGTGGGCGGCAGGGATTGTGGCCGCCATGTCCAGCATCACGTTCCCAGCAGTCAGTGCGCTCGTGTCTCGGAACGCAGAGTCAGATCAACAAGGTGAGGTCGCAGCCCTCGCTGTTTCCTTCTTCAGCTGAGACCTCTCTGCCAGAAGCCTGAAGCTCTGAGCTCTCCACATCAACACCAGGAGGTGACAGCCTGTGATCCCTGCTCCAGGAGCATATCTGTTTGCTTTGCAAATATAAAAGTCTTATTTTCCCCTCTGCCTTTATCTTACTCATCCTTTTTTAAAAAAAAAAAACAGCAATTTATATTACTGAGTTAGAAAATACCTGTTTTTCTTTTTCAGTTTTGACTCCTTTTATCTGTTACCATCAGACTTAACCTGGCTATTCCCATTTAAATAGGTGTCTATTAAATGATAGTTAGCAGTGAGTTATTTAATCACTAAAATTGCTTCAATTTGAAGTAATTCAAAGTCCGTGAGCTTGATGTAGGAAGTGGTTCTTGGGAAGAAAAGAATTTATGTGGCTTTTGGTAATTGGGTAGAGTAACAGGTGAAGTAAGTTATGGCTGCTACGTGAAGAGGAGATGGATGGTTACCCGCCTTCCTGTGCCTTGGCTTCACTTGCAGGCAGTTCTGCCAGAATTAGTCCTTTTCTTTGTCCATTTCCTGAGGGCTCACTTTACTGTAGTCAGGAAGTAGGGAGTTTTAAAGGGCATATTTTTTAAATGCTTAAACTCTTTAAAAATTTTTCAATAAAAAAACTACATTGGAAAATGTACCTATTCTTCTAGATCAGAAATTATCCATCTTTTTTATATCCATTTTTAAATAATGTCACTTGAAGACCACCAGTTCCATGTGTCACCTTCAGGTACATTAACCCAGCACAAGGAAAACACCCCTGTGTCTGAAGTATAGTGTCTCAAGCCATCGTGAAGGACTGTTCTGTTATTCAGGGCATAGACTGTCAGTACAAATGTGAATGTTTTGAAGTCAGCATGTGGAATGTGTTACATTAGGCTAACATGTACTTGACCATTTTTTGTTTTGTTTTGTTTTGCTTTGTTTTTGGTACTGAGAATCGAACTCATGACCTCAGGCTTGCCAGGCAAGCGCTTATGCCACTGAGCTATCCCTGGCCCATACTTGACTATTTTTGACTTAAAAAGAAATATCTGGTTCAAGCTAATTTCACCAGCCATATTAGAAAGCAGAGGTGTCTAGAAATCAGCACTTAACTTTTCTGTGCAGGTCTGTACTGTGATGGAGAATATCTGTGGCAGCTGAGAGGACGGCATCTCCCAGGGGAGGGAGCAGTGGCTCTACTGACGTATAACTAGGGCCATCAGAAGTGAAGCGCAGACTTTTATTGTAAATGCACTGTTAAATGAGCAGAGCAGGGAAATCTCAATTCACTCAACAGTGAAAATCGCCAAAAATGGGAAATTTAGGCTTTGTAATTCATGATTGCCCATTTGTAGGCAGATGTAGGTGATGTGGGGAATTTAAAACCAGAAAGATTTCAGAAACTGAAATCACTGTCATTTTACCTGCCTGTAGACCTTAGTACAGAAAGTAAGGACGTCATGAAGCAAAGGAAATGCTTGTGTAATGAGTGAAAATATGTTGGTGAAGTCTTCCTGATCTACTTTCTGCATTGTGCTTTCTACTCATAGGCATAAGTCTTATGAGTAGTCCCTGAGAATCAGTATATCATAGCTTGTCAAAGTACCGTAAAGCTCCACATCTTGAGATGCTTCTCTGAGAAGACTGATTCCTGTTTCTTTGTTCTGATGTAGGAGTTGCCCAGGGCATCATAACAGGAATAAGAGGACTATGCAATGGCCTGGGACCAGCACTCTATGGCTTCATATTCTACATGTTCCACGTTGAACTAACTGAGTCGGGCCCGGAATTGAATTCTGGCAGTGGTGCCCTACAGGTAACTGGATGATGTCTAATTTTGTAACGGTGGTTAAGTCCGAGTATAGCAATTCTTCTGACCTTAACTTTGGGGAGCATTCTTATTTGCATGTTACTGTTGTATTTTACAGTAGTAAGCTATGTGTTTATGTTTCCCTGGGATCAGGGAGGGCTTATTTCAGAGATTTAGTATCTTAGAAAAGCTTTGTCTTAACTTTAGGCTCTGTTTTCACCTACATAGTAGTCAATGTGTTCAGGATGTTATTTGCTGGCTAACAGCCTCAGATTAAATAACAGGAAATGACCTAAAAACCCAGCTACAAATTGAGCCTAGGGTACTTTCTCTACTCCTTTTTTTATGAAAAGTGATATTGAGATATTGAGTACAAAACTGGAATTTATGTTCAGTGTACAGCAATGCATAATCAGAGGTCATAGAATGATATTACAGGTAAACGGTTTATAGGCTTTCAGGTTGGGGTAGGCTGTGTAAAAGTGGTACCCCTAAAAAGCACCAATCAATTGCCATTTTATATTCCCAAGACCAAGCTCTGTTTGCCTCACCATGTAATGAAATATTATAATCTGCTTTTGAGGAAATGGTTCACTTTTAGGTGGTATATTTCTTTGGGTTGAAAAGACTAACTAATTCTTCGTCTTATTTTCCACATCCATCAGGAAGCTGTCATCCCAGGCCCACCATTTTTGTTTGGAGCATGTATAGTTCTTCTGTCTTTTCTGGTTGCCTTATTCATCCCTGAATACCGTAAAGCCAGTGGAGCTCAAAAACATAGCAACAGCATCAGTGGTAGCCTGACCAACACCCCAGAACGGGGCAGTGATGAGGATATTGAACCACTGCTGCAAGACAACAGCATTTGGGAGCTTTCCTCCTTTGAGGAGCCTGGGAGTCAGAGTACGGAGCTGTAACCGGAAGAAAAGGAGTTCTGCAGATGTTAACTCTCAGAGCCTTCAGGGGAGCCACACCACATGGAGACTTCATGGTGCTGGAAGGGTGAAACTAGAGGCACGTTTTGGCCAGGTTGATAAAGGATTCCTTTATCCTTCCACACCCCATCTCTCCCTCTTCCTGTTCTTTTCCATTCTTTTTCTTTTTTTATACTAGGACAAGATAAGATTCGAATTACTTCTCCATAAACAGTGTGCAAGTTTCAGGGTTATCTGGAGTCCAAACTTCGAAACTCAAATAGAAAAGGTCATATCCCTCAGAAAAAAATGGCTTTCTGCTGGGCAAGCTGGTACATGCCTGGGATCCCAGCATTGAAGAGTCTGAGGCAAGAGGATTGCAAGTTCAAGGCTGGCCTGGACTACAGAGCAAGTTCAAGACCAGTCTGAGCTACACAGTGAGACCTTGTCTTAGAAAAGAAAAAGGCTTTCCTTTAGTGACTGCAGTAAGTGAGACAGCAGACTGTACACCCTTCTCAGTAGAAGGTGCAGGGTTATTGTGGAAGTGCCATCTTGGGCAAGATTTCAGGTAAAGATTCTCTTCTTCCTTCCTTCATCCTCTTCTGGATGATACCCTTTTAGCCCACAGGTATTGATGAGTGGCCACTCTTAAGAGTTAATCACTCAGTATCAGGGACCCATTGCCTTTATTCAAAGGTCAAACAGAAATGCTACAGTTTTACTTTCCCTTTGTTTTTTTTCCTACTTCCTATGCTTGTCTAGAATGAATAATAATACTGATTAGTGATCACCTTTAGCAGATGAAGGAAATCTTTCTTACAAATTCAAACCATGTTGAAGTAGCAAATCAGATTAGTGGACTTAGTGTCCTGGTCAGATCTGCAGTGATTTTACAGAGTAAAACAGAACCTCTTCTGATTGGGTGTGGTGGTGCACACCTACAATCCCAGCTACTTGGGAGGCTAAGGCAGGAGTATTGTGAGTTCGAGACCAGCCTGGACAACGTAGCAAGACCTCCATCTTAAAAAAAAAAAAAAAAAAAAAAAAACTACTGGCAACAAAGAAATTGGGGAACTAAACTTCTAAGAAAGTTTTTAATGACTTGAACATTCCTGAGAGGCTGAGAGTTAGTTACTGGACACCAGTGGAGTTTATATCTCAGTTCCCTCACAATACATTATCACTATTTGCTCCTTTCCACATCACCCATGTCCTCCTCAGCTTTTCTCATCTGTCACGCACCTGCCTTAACTGCTGTGTAGTATGCATATGTTTTCAATTAATCTTTATCTCAATCTCTTTATCAGACTTCTGAATCTCATGGGATACGCACATTAAATTCCTTTATAAAGTATGAGGGTTTGGTGAAGTCCAGTTTCACAATAAGTGTCTTGCTAATTTTTTGAGATGTTTTATGGACAAAGACAACTTTACAGATTTATATGTATTTTGCTGCACAGTAAATGGACTATTAACTAGGGCCTTCCTTTAACAAAGCACTCCTTTGAAAGTTTTATAGGTATGAAATATATGTAGATATTTGTAAGAGTTTTAATTTTTTTGCTGGGGTGCTGTGTAAATCTTGTATTTATAAATGTAATGAAGGTATTGACAAAAAATATATACAACTTTTATAAAGGATTATGTACTGACAATACATTTAAAAGAAAATATATTTTGAAACCTGTTTAGTGATGAACAGAGATAACATATCTTTTTACTATGCTGTTGGTTTTTAGGTTAAGCTTCCTAATGCATAATAAATTTGCAATGGATATATTTATGTCTTTTGTGATTTTTTTTTTACAACAAATTAGGATTGCTCTTTGGGGTTCTCTGGGCAGCTTTCAACTAGACTGAATTATTAATCCTTCAGCTAGTGTAAAAGACATGTATATTTTTTGGGGAAAAAAAACTTTAAAAGTTCATTTAAAATGTCCCATCAAAGACAGATTCCACTTTATTTTATATAGCAGGATCTAGAACAGCTATGTGTACACCCATGTCTATAGTAGCATTATTCCCAGTAGGAGGAAAATATCCAGGTGCCCAAGGACTAATGAACGGATAAACAAAATGTGATATTACTTAGAATAGAATATTATGTAGCCTTTAAAGTATGAAAATTCTAGCACATAGTACAGTATGGGTGAACATTGAAGACACTGTGCTAAGTGAAATAAAAGTTACAAAAGGACCATTACTGTATAGTTTCACTTGTGAGGTACCTAGAGGAGTCATGTTAGGAGAGACAGAGAGCTGAACAGTGGTTGCCCGGGCTGAGAGGGGGAGCAGTGGGAAGTTACTTGATGGGCACGGTTTTGTTTTGCAGTACAAGAAACTTCTGGGAGTTGGTGGTAGTAGTTTGCCTAACTTGGATTTGGAAATGTATTCTTAAAATAAATTTACTATCACTAAACCATACCCGAAAAATGGTTAAAATAATAAATATTGTATGTATGTTATTACCATTTTACCCATTCTAAAATGTAGAACAGTGATTCCTATGTATTCACAATGTTATACAACCATCTGCACTAGTTCCTGACCCTTTCCACCACTCCTTAAAAAAGCCTGTATGTATCCATTACATACTCTCAGTCACGCCCAATTTTCCCTTCCCTCATCCTGTGGCAACAAGTAATTACTTACTCTACTATGGGTTTGCCTATTTGGGGACATTTCATATGAATGGAATAATATGTGACCTTTTTATGTCTGGCTTTTTTCACTCGGTATGTTTTCAGGGTTCATCCCTATTGTATTATGTGTCAATATCTTATTTCTTCCTAGGGCTGAATAGTACTCTATTGTATATATATACACATTTTGTTTATAATCACTTGATTGACATTTGGTTTTTCCCCCTTTTTTTGCTAGTATGAGTACGCTGTGGTGAAGATTCCTGTACAAGTTGTATAGATACGTTTTCAGTTCATCCTGGGTGTGTACCTGGAGGAATTGTTGGGTTATGTGGTAATTCTATGGTAAACCATTTGAGGAATCTGGACCGGTTGGTTTTCCACAACTGCTGCAAACTTTAGTTCCCAACAGCAATGTCAGAGAGCTGCAATTTCTTGACATCTTTGCTAATTGTAATACTCTGTTTTATTTGTGGCCATCCCTGTGGGTTTGAGGAAGTATCTCACTGCAGTTTGATTTGCATTTCTGTAATGACTAATTATGCTGAGCAACTTTTTAGATGCTTGTTTGCCATTCATGTAATTTCATTGGAGAAGTACTTTGGCTGTTTTCTAAATGGGATGTTGTTGAATTTTAAAAGTTCTGTATATATTCTGGATACTAGACTCTTAATTAGGTACACAGCAATACTCATTGATGCACAGAAGCTCTCAACTTTGAAGAAATTCCATTTATCCATTTTTTTTCTTTAACTGCTTTTGATGTTATGTCTAAGAATACATTTCCAAATCCAAGGTCATGAAGACTTTCTCCCATTTCTTCTAAAGGTTTTACAGGTACAGCTCTTATAGTTCTTTGACTCATCTTGATTAATTTTGTTCACAGTTTTAGTTTTGTTTTGTTTTTTTTTTTTGTTTTTCTCCGGTACCGGGAACCGAACTCACGACCTTGCGCTTACCAGGCAGGCGCTTTGCCGCTGAGCTAAATCCCCAGCCCCTTGTTCACAGTTTTAGGTAAGGGTCCAAACTCATTGTTTTGATGTGGTTTTTGTTAATCCCTACCCCACTGGTTAAGGGACTGTTCTTTCCCTGTGAAAAATAGTCCTGGCATGCTTGTCAAAAGTCAGATGGCCATAGATACATGAAATTGTCACTGGACTTCCATAATTCTATCCAATGGTGTGTATGTCTGTCTTTATGCTAATGCAGCACAACTTTGGTTACTACAGCCTTACAGGTTTTAAAATCAGGAATTGTGAGTTTCCCAACTTTGTTCTTTTTCAATATTGTTTTAGCTATCTGGTTTCTCTGATTCCATATAAATTTTAGTTTTGACTTTTTCATTTTTGTCAAAAAATGGTTTTTGGCAGAATTTATAAGTATATGTAAGATAGCTGGAATAGGTGTATTGCTGATGCCTAATTTATTGAGAGGAACAGTCAATGCTTAAACTTTTCTCCTTTTTTTGACCAATTTTACATGCTTGAATTTGGTAATTGATCTGAAAACAATGTGCAGTATAAGAACCATTGTTTTTTTGTTTTTTTATTTTAAAGATAAAAGGAGGGAAACATTAACAGACATACAACATTTTACAACATATCACAAGCACAATACAGACAACACAGAGTTACAAACAAAGTGGTAGGGAATTAACAATGGTGGTTGTATTACATATTGATATCTTCAAAGTGGCTTCTCATGAAAACAGATATAA